AATAGCACAGATATGTTTTTTTTTTACCCAATTACCAAATAATTATGAAGAGTTTTCCTTCTATTTTAACATCCAAACAAGAGAAAAGATATAGTAGCCTTCTCTTCCCTTCCACCAGTCTCCTTTCTTTTCTTTTCGATATAGCTTTTCGTTGAGTTTGGTTCAGATTTCAATTTCATTGAATAGAAAATTAGTAATATTTTTTTCAAAAGGAAAAAAAAAGGAATATAAGTACAATATAAATAGGATAAAGATTTTAATAAAAATAGTACTCTAACTCCAAGTAGATCACATGTCTAATTCAAATTAAATGGATTTATGAATTTCTTAATTGATAAGTGGAAACACAAAAATAATGATATATGTTGAATTGGCTCAAATATGCATGAAAGATATAAATTATTTACATATCAAGGATTGAGATTTAGTAAAGAGGAATAAAGTAGAACGGAAAAGCATCAACATACCATTCATTATTATGGATAACTTCTATAAAGTCTATCTTGCCCCCCAAAAACAGACCCTGAGTATACAAAACCTATGGTGGGCCTCACATTGATTAATCATTTAAGTAATATCTTCTTTTGCAGACGTTCTTCTTCCAGTATAAGATCATATAGATCGCATCATAATCATGAGCACTAAATTTCATGATTTTTATCATGACAACAGATGCAAACCATAAGAAAGAGCATCAATTGCTAGGTAAATGAAGGAACTTGATTTTTTAATTGAAGATCCTACGAGAACGGCGAAATTCTATAAAGTAACGTTGTTAACCAATCATAATGAAGGAAAATCTGTGCTGAAATTATTTTAAGTTATAAATTGTTGACTTCACAAGAACCACTTTATTAACTTCATCAGATAAATCAATCCACTGAGCAAAGTTCGCATATTCCATAATTGGCACTGTGTAAAACAATGTACATGTTGTCAATTATACAAAGCAAATTAGCTGGCATATTCTTGAAATTGTAACTGTATTGGAGCAATGTAAATTACGGCACTGCACTAGTCAAATCAGATACTAGTACCCTTTGTCAGGGAAGTAAGAAATGCCACCAAGTAACCATCTCATAATTATGAAAAGAGAGAAAAAATAATAATCCTAAGAGAAAGTAGGTTTAAAAATAAAAGATTAAAAAGGGAACTGCAAAGAAAAAACAATACATAGTTTTCTCACATATGATTCTAAATGGTTATTCAACACATACCAGATGATGTTTGCGAATATATTTGGCTGTGCTCCCATTGTCATTGACCAAAAGAAGACCAAGTATCTGGAAAAACAAGAAAAAAATAACATAAATAAAATTTTGACATTAAGACTGTGAAGCTTATTGGAATTATGTTTATCAGCGACTGAATTATCTCAGGGGCCAATTTTATCAATGGATATAAAGTGGAAATTAAGCATAATTCATCACCTGCATCGCATGTCTATGAAGCTGTATGCTATGGAGCGGAACAAGACCTTCCTTATACCGAGTGAATACAACTAAAGACCCACTTGCAACCATTTGAAAAAGCAACTGAAGCGAATCATCCTCGATCAGACTCTGCGCTGCTGAAGGATGACTTGCCAATGCTTTCATGATATGAACCACACTTCCTTCTACCTGCATTAATATAGACGAGTACATTTAATCCAAAAAGCATTGCTGTAGTATAATTATTATTATCCGCATTATCACACAGTCACCATCCAATCAAATCAGCAATTAAGAACATATAAACACAGGATGCTCGAGAAAGCTTTAATTCATACTCCATTAGAACCCAAAGAATACTCCGTAGTTTGGCTCCCAAATGAATATGAAAAGGCATGCCCCTCCAGGTTTACCATCTAATGACTCTTCCTAAATCCAAAAGGCTTTAATATAAATACACTTAATTTTTTGGTAACTACCACTCTATTTTATCTTTTTTTTTTTAATAACTACCACTCTATTTTATCTTTTTTTTTTAATAACTACCACTCTATTTGTCATAA